TACTACTTATTATCAAATATATATATATATACAGGAGAATACAACAGATACAATCAAAGTATCGGTGTAAGAATTGCCATATTCTCTCGAACTGCCCCTGGTAAGAAGTTAACAACCTTTTTTGCTAAAAAAACACTTGTTTTACTGGTTTGACGTCCAAATAACTTTGAAAATATGCGACGTACAGAGTACGTAAAGTTGTGATTTATAGCACGAATTTCATGTCAAGTCAGTTTACTGTACATTTCAGTGAGGTACGCTTTCAAATCCAAACAGTCCTCCTGATTGATAAGTGCAACTTTAGAGTAAATGATGTATAGTGGCACAGTGCAAATCATGAACCGATTTTTCGATCTCGTCGGTTAAAGTGCACTGCGACATTTTTCTACCGGTATGTCTCTTACGTCTTATGAGCAAATCCCCTGAGACATGCCTGAAAAATCATAAACTATTCTAATTTCCTGAAGCGGTGTACATATTCACAGACTGCTTGGGTGTTTCATTCATCTAATTTACATGAACTCCATTATCTTTGGTTCAATTTTGTCTACCCGCCTGCTCACATTTGTTTGCAAGTGCGTGTGTGTGCGCGCGCGCACCCGTGTGGCGCGAGAGATGGTTGCAGTGCACTGCCATTTTGCACGGTGCTAAATCACTCATGCGCTCTACTTCACCGAATGGTTAAGACCACATGGCAATAAGATTTCGGGCCACTTCCGTTTAGAATTTCTACCATTCAATGACGATTCTGAAGCTTATTTAGTATTTGGTACTGAAAACTCGTCTATTTGCAAAAACTCGTCTTGTTAGCAAACTCCACACATTTTAAACGGGGTTTAAATCAAGACTTGGTGCGAATTAATAAGTGGTCTTGATGTTTAGGGACAATCACATTCTACAAACGTCAGCTGCAGGTATGGTAACGCTTTCTAGCTGGAAGAGGATAAACGCAGCCAAACTTTCACAACAGCAGGTATTAAAGTTCGAATGTAAGAATCATTCATTACATTACATACGATAGGTACCAATAACGATGAGCCTGTTAGAAGATTAAGAAATGATGCATGAAGTGAAGAGAAACTTTTGGTGATGTTGGCGAAACTAAACTATTTTCTAAAATGAAATACAGACCTTAAGTCTTTTCCTGTATCGTATACACGGACTTACAGGCACCAGAGGATGAGAAAATAAGGAAAGAGTTCATTTCATTCGATGATACGTACAAGGTGTTAGCAATCGATCGTGTAGCGCGGGGTTAAGGGGTTCGGCTTCGAACCCAAGGTTGGCGACAGATACAAATTGAGTAGACTCCGCTTTTGAACCCCAACAAAGACAAAATAGCTGTGATATCATGGTATGATAATAATAAAAATGAAAAGATATCGAGAAGTTCTTTTTCAATTCATATCACGATCAGGTGCTAGTTATCAGTAGACAGTATACATCCTATGACTGATCGATTTCCCATAGATGAGCCAATTCCATAAACCTACATGTGACGGGACAAGTAATGACCAACAAGCAGATTACATGAGATTAATAAGCAGAAATACAGCAAAAAATAAAGACTAGACCAAATCACGAGTAAGAAACTAAGCGATTTGAATTCAGACATGTGTGTAGCATGTACCGTTAGCGTTCTTTCTAAACCACATTGGCTAGGGTGGTATAAAGAGCAGATGGATGGAAAAGAAGAGGTGGTCGGAGGTGGATAAATGTTGAACAAGTTGATTTGCTCGCAGGAGAATCAGTGAGAAAATGTACTCCGACTGGAAGGGTTGGTCGGATGCTATGCGAAAAATTCATCTAAAAACAGATGAGGCCAAACGAGAAGACAGATGATTTGAGTCGTCATGGACATCGCGGTGAGTTTTCTCCAATTGCAAACAAGTATTAAGTTAATGGGAAGAGTACTAATAGTCAGTTGTCTTGCGTCGAGCAAGTGTGCATAGGCCCTAAAAAGGAGAATAAATGTGTGTATATGGGTGGATGTCAATCTTGGAAAACAGTATTACAGCCTATCCAATGTTATTAACCAGGGGGATTGGTAGCAAACTGATCACATGACACCAAACGAGAATGAGATTTGAACGGAATGTTTACGAGTGGACTGTGAGCTTGGACGGACGTTTTCCTAAATAATAATAAGCCGAGAAGTCCATAACGCGCAATGGACTTTAATCAAAGCGAAGAAGAATTGGCTTCCAGAAATACACGTGTGAAAACAAGTCCGTATGGGTTCAAAGAAATGGAAGATTGCCTTGGGCGATGGAAATGGTAGTGGTGAGCGAAAAGCGATCGCGCTTACAATCAGAATATGGGATAGACAAACAGTTGGAAAGTCAAGACCAGAACAACCGTTTATGATGATTAGGTTGGGTGTGCTTGAAAGGGAAAGATCAGATCCAGGATGAACACAGAAATGAATATCGATTTATTCCATCACTTGTCCATTCGCCTAACCGGTTTCGTGGTCCTTGGGAACTGACAAAAGTTGGACCAAGTGAGCGCAATCGGTTGGAGATAGAAGTTGATGAAGCACACTGGCTAACTCCTTGGTCATATCACTGGATGCAGAGAGTGTGCTGATAAAAACGGAACATAATTCGAACAAGAAACACTAAACGTTAGACATTACTGTATCGTAGGAAATAGCCCATTATTGATTAAACGTTACAAAAGCAACTGGATGCAAAAACATCTGGTAATTTCTGACAGCGTTCATGGCCAAGTAGGGGTTGCAAACCTGAAACTAACAACTTCTGCCTTGCTATTTATTTCTGCAATGGAAGGATAAGATTATATGAACGCACAGTTATTGACGTCTACCGATATAAAGGAAAATACGATGGAGAAACGTCATGCAAGGAAAAAACGGGAAACAAATTTATTCGCCAGACTCTTTTTAATGTTGTGGAACAGTTGGGGGAATAATACATCTGTATGTCAAGAAAAGATGCTTAAGAACAAATCATAGTTTTCCGCTTTCTAGTCATGTTTGTAGAATGATACTTATTAGCGAGTGGGATATCTAGGACAATAGTCAATAGCACTATCTGAGATTAGCAGTCCCGCTCATCTGCGTGACAGATCCGATTCGAAAAGAAAGCATCACCAATGGAAAGAATAGTTTCCATAGAGTAGAGCCATTCCAAATTCAGGTACGATGATTTTATCGCAGCTGTCCGAGTCACATTCATTTATACTAGCGTTTGATTCGATGAGTTCATCCTTTCGACAATGAACAATACGTCTGCTAACCAGAACAAGGAGAGGAGTACGGCAGAATATAACAAATGCCAGAAAATCACTCAAAATTATTTCTCTGACAACATTTTAAATGAACTTGGATAATCTTCCAAATGTTCCTTGCCTTTGACAAAGGAAATGTTAGAACAGGAAGAAAACAAATACTGCGAGATGTTAACATTTCTTTTAATCTCTTTACTCTCTACAACGCAAATCAATCTGGTATTTTAACGAGAAAGTTTTGATAACTACCGTGGTTAAACGGACAACAGTCAGGACAGGGGAATCAGATGCAATGCCACGACAATTTGACTGATTGCGCCAGAAACTTCCGCGAATACAGAATTGGATTACGAAACTTCAATAACGTCGCTTCGCTGAAGGCTGAGCTTTGGATTCATGTTGCGCAACAACGGCTTGATCGGCAAACTTTCAAATCCAATATGACTACCCCAGAACCTGCGTAGGCCCGTAGCATCACTATTTTATTACTTTGGTGTAGTTCATTTAATTTTTTGAGATGATTTTGCAATATCATCGTCGATGCAACTGGATTCTCGACATATCTGATTTCCTGGATATACTACTTTAGCTTTAAACCAACTAGCCGTATCGGGCACATAGGAAAGTTGGTCAAGCAAATACTCGGCTTGTATTTCGATGTCTATGCGGTCCGTTTGAGTATACTGGACAAAAAGTTCAAACCCAGGGCTTAGGGCTCAATCTGCAATTTATTAACGGTAACATTAGATAAATTGGTCACATACTTCTCCGGATTCGCAGAGCGACTAGATACTAGAGCAGGGGAAACGACTACCAAAGAAAAACGTTCTCATCATATTGCCGTTTTAAGGTGATCAGAATGAGAAACCTACACCAAGCCGATTGAAACAAGCTCTTCTATGAACGTACAACGCCGCTTCGCGAACTATTCACCATAAAAGCAGACGAATGAATACTGAATCCAACTTGCATAAACTATACTCTTAAGTAACCTCTTCGTGTATTTGCCTATTTCAGTGAGCTTGCGGTAGCAAATATAACGGAAGAACTGAGAGACGTTTGGCCCACGGGATCTCAGAGCGTGTCCCGGGAAATTTAGTCCTCGAAAATTCCCTCCAGTTTTGTTATCCACCACATATTGGACTGCAAACTTGCATCAATCCAAAGCAAGCATGTAAGCATGCTGTAACCATGCGGCGCCACAAACCAGACCGCTACAAACAACTGAACTTTGTGGCCAGCCTTGCTCTTCCACCGTGGTTCCGATCAATAAGTATTTTCTCCCACCCTTTCCCTCTGTTCAACCCGAGTGTAACTAGTAACCTTTGACGTTCGTCTAGTCGAGTGTTTTGGTGTTTAAGGTCCTGATCAAACTTTCACAGGAATGCTTGTACATAGCTGAAGAGAACGCGAAACAGTCGAATTCAACCGGTTCTGTGATGATGATTGTTCGCGCTCTGATGAAGTTCCTAATAGGAGCTGGATGTGTGAAAAGAAAACATTGATACTCACCTCTGAATACGTTCAAACATATGCCTTCGTTTCAAGGCCTCGATTTGAGAGCCCAAAAAGGTCACCGGGGATTTTTCAGGTGGATCAGAAACCGCGATTTCATCTAAACCATCCACTAATGAACCGGGGCTTTCCGGGTTAGGTTTGCCGACGTTCGGTACAAGATTGGCCAGTTTGGGTACGTAGCAGAACTGTTTGCAGCCTAATTGTTGGGCCAACCACGCACCTACACCTAAATGATCATCGGACCAGGCACGTTCTGCAGCCTCGGGTTCCATCGTTGAGGATGTCCTCGTCATCGAATCCGGTTGCTTAGCATTCTCGTCGGCCAGGTTGCTCGATGTGGATCTTTGCGACCGAGAACGAGCAGATTTACGACCTTTCTTACTGCCTGTGTTGTTAATCCCATGGTCCCCAGGGGTCTTGGTGTTGTGCACAGAACTATTAACGGTATCAGTGGTGCGTGTCAATTCACTGGAAGTATGAGCCTGTAGAAACCACTGCTGAAGGATGGCCAGTCCACGAGCGAATTGCGAGCTGTATTCAACACCTTTGGGAAAAGAAGTGCAGAGAAAATACAAAAGGACGTTTATAATCTGAGTGAAAATGAGGAGACGGAATTATTTTAGCTCGTCAATAATCGTACTGGGAAAAAATCAACTAAATAATTTGCATGAATCGTTTAGCAAAACCTTCCCGCTGTCTTGAGGATCACGCTTTGGTTAGCTGCGGGAAATCCACCTACGATGGCAAGGAGACGGTGGAAGCATACTACTCATTAGCAAATCATGGGCCTTCTTCTTTGTTATAAACATTATCTTACAGTGATTTGTTTGATACACAGGGTGAACTTAAGGGCGTGTTAAATACGAAACACTAATATATATGCAATTCATAGTATCCGGTAGGAGTGGTTTACCTATTTATATTATATCGAAGGTATTTAATCAGAGAATAGATGAGCCACAAAGTGTCAACGTTTTTCGTTCGAATATCATTCCATATCAGTGCAATATTCCTTCAACTTTATAAAGAGGGGTTTTGACAACCAACGGGTTTTTCCAATTGCTCTGAAATACTTTGATTCATCCATCCATGGGAACCAGTGTGCCAATTTTATGAATGTTAGTCCGTTCGGGATGACTGTAGGGCGTATCACCCAATCTTTACTTACCAACTTTTGGTACACCTCGTGCGATTTCTTCAGCTGATGGGTAGTTCGTTGAATCACCGGACCCACGGCGTTCGTGTTCTTCCAAATGAACAGCGGATCCAGTTGAAGAGGGCAGTCCGGTACTGCAATCTAAAATGATAAGAGCGAAATGTCGATCGAATATCTCGCATGCCAAAGTGATACCAATCACACTTTACTACCAGACTGAATCAATCTCATATACAGTGTCGTATGACTTGCCTGGTTTCGTCCGGTCAGCTGTAGCATTGCCCGCCTTCTGCGATAGTTCTTCCACTGTCGCCAGTTCACTGATCGTGCGAACACGACCGTGACATCTGACACGGCTCAGCCGAGACAGATGTTCCGACAACTCTTTCCCAATCATCAACACATCATTTGCGGGGTTTAGACAGACCGTGTCCATGAGTCGAATAGCATGCATCTCCAACAGCCGTCGGCGAAGGCGTGCATAAAAGAATGAACGACTCTCGGACCAAGCAACCAGTCCGTGGACTAGCCCACGTGTTTGCAGCCGACCAGGGGTGTCATGAAGGTCAGCGAATGTGCACGCAACCTAACAGATAGCGTTGTGTATCAGCGCGGAAGGAAACAAACAGATGCGAATAGACGAATGTATATTTGTGGCTGACAGAATGTCGTCCAGCGACGAGGCAAAAAATAATGCACCATTTTGTGATCAATACCAATAGTAACAAACTGAATACTGAAATCTCAAGGGGATTGTATAATAAGGTCACTCATCAAAAAGCTCTTCATGACGCAATGAAACCTTGATGGAAAAAATCATATGATAGAGCTTCCAAGAATTCTTTATGTCATGATGTTTCTGAAAAAGTAAACCCTCCGTAATGAAGGCGACTTTGTTGAAACTATAGTGATGAACTGGGCATCATGTCGACATGGTCATTTCGTGGTCAACTTTTTTATAACCGTCCTAAAAGGTTCTGCCCTCATTTATAAATAAAAATATGCCAATTATGAGCTAAATAAAAATGAAGCTATTAATATAATAATATATATTATATATAATAATTAATAAGTATCACACGAATTTCTAAAATCCAAAAAAGCGTATGACAGACATCTATGTTCTTCAGCTCACTTTCTCTAGTTTCTTACTATTTTCGAGAAATACTAACCAATTAACTCTTCTTGTCTTTGACTTGTTTTATTGACGTCTAACAACAACAATAAGAACAACTAACGATCCATAAATGAAAGAAGTGTGCTGGGATATAAGGCATTAAGCAGAAAATTAAGTAGCTTTTTCAGTAAAACTTAACAGGCACAGCATTAGAATTAGCAACTTCTTATCTTGCGAGTAAGATTGGTCAGTTTCGTGAAAAATTGCCAGAATAAAACCATTTGAAAATTTTGAGCACTCTGCATTGGCGTGGAGTCAACGGAAATTCGAAGTGCCAAAGGTTTTGCGAACTATGCGAAGCATCAATCAGTCATGCACACCATTGGATGTACTAGTACGTCAAACGCGGTATTATTATTATTCGGATCTGTTGCAGCTATGGATAAGAGAAAAATATGCAACTAAAGTAGAGCTACCTGATGATAATACGGTCTCAGCTCTTTTTGGCGAGCCTCAAGAGCCATTTGTAACTGGCGTACACGTTCCTTCACTGACAACGTGGAGTCTGAATTGATCTGATTTGATGGCACTGGACACCCAGTTTGAAGTTGATCGATTTCCGTCAGCAGACGAAGACACTGTTCATCCAACCGACGCATTGTCTGTATAAGATCCGGCTTGCGATACTTGATCTCTACTGTACCCTCCGGCTCGAGCACACCGGCACGGCAGGCAATGGGATCAGCATACATTTCCATTCGATCTGGATTTATAGCCGGATCGACTACGACCCAGGCACCGCCGCGAAGTTGTGATTGTGGGGGCAGATAGACAAACACCGGCTCCGGATAGCGACGTAGAGCATCAATGATCATAGATCCAAATTTTAGAACCTGAAGAAATGAAATAGAATAAATAAAATTTGTTGGTTTCAGTGTTACTTATCCGGTTAGTAATGGCCACAACTAACGTAAAAGAAAAATCATGATGACATCGCTTGTAACCGCGTCTTTGCTAGCCAAACGAACAACAGAAGTCTTCCATCTTTCCAGAACGTAAAAATCATAGATTTCTTGATATATAACTTGCCTATCGAATCAATAGTGGTAAGAAGAAAGCAAACATCATTAACGGAACACTGAACTGCGAGGTCACATGACAAGTTATTTCACTTTGAGCAGAGTTTGGTCTATATGGTGAATAGAGCGCGGCAAAAATTTAGGGATGCAAATAAATGAACAAACTTTTTTACCGGCGGGATAGGAAAGTAGGATAAGTATGTTTTAAAGTGCAATATACGTCTCCACTCAACTGAAAGCAATTCCAGGTTTTATTGTCAAGTGTAAGTATTCGGCAAGTTGAAATCACAGAAGGTAGTATAGACATCACCGGTTTACGAGGAAGCTTGGTGCCGATGCAGCAACAAGAATAAGAGAATATGTTAGGGGTCTGGATGCATAGAGAAGCAGAAGATCAGACATTAAAGTCGAATAATGAGAATAACAATTTATTGTTTGTCTGACCGTACACTTTTGATAATTTTTAGGTGTATCCACTCAAATGGTACTTCTAATGGCTGCTAACGGAGCAGATTATCGCATAACTAATTTGAAAGAAAGTTTGTCGGCTTTTTTAGATTTCCAATAACGATCATAACGATAGACATGGTATCGCAACATAGGTGGTACAGCGTAGGGTCTACAGAGATGTGGGTGGGGTCTGTGAGTGCGTTCGAATCCCACCGAGGTTCCAGATAACTCGGTGCTCAGTCAAACAGTTTCTAACCGACACGACTTCACGTTCCCAGAAGGAGCATGGAATTCATAGCTACCCATCTCACTTCGGGCTTCGTTTAAACACGTCGAAATGCTACGAATGTATTTCAACTCTCTCTCATGTTTTCACCGGTATAATGGCCCCTACAGAAAGACCTCTGCCCTATCTCAAGAGTTCCACCTGTAAAGTACCTCAGGGTTACCATAAGATCTGATCAACGTGTGCCTTTCCACATCCAGGAGTGCATTGGAAAACCTCGAGTGTCCTTTCAAATTCGTAGACTCACACTGCTTGAAGCTAAACAAACCATGATTGTTTCACGTATAAACCAATGAGTTTCATTTACGTTTACGGATCCTTTCAAATAACCGCGCTCACCTAAGAAAGACTCTCAGACGCGACGCCGAGGTCTGGTTATTGTGCAGCATATCTCTCGTATTCTCGTTGACACAAAAGAATCATAGAATCAACACACTGAAATCAATGAAAACCTTGGAACAATATCCTTGCAGCCACCAAGCATGAATTACATCATAATTTGTCGCGTATCTCTCACGTTCATCAAACTATCCCAATAAAAACGAATATGATCCCCCGTAAAGATTTACCCTGACCCTTAATGCAGTTTCTGACTCTTATTGTGATTAACCATTCCTTTGAAATAGTTGACATGAACATCATCATCATCATCGTACAGCGAAATACAGTGAAGCGAACTTCACTGACCGCTGCCAAACTCACAATGCATACAAGGTTAGTGGTAAAACTTAAGGTGGACAGGGGTTGGATCTATTTTGAGGAAGGGACACCACACTTCTAAAGAAAACGTTCTTCGGGTGTCAGTTTATGGAATGGAGGTAACCTAAAAGTTACGGTTTACACAGTATTAATACGTGTGAGTGAAAATGCTCATTCAAATACCTGGAAAGATATAAAAATGTAACGCCCAAAGTACATAATTTCCGGAACTACGTACCTGATCGTACATGTCTTTCATTCCTCCAGAAAAACCGCGCCAACTAGCAAAAATGAACAGAGGAATTCGTTCCCGGGCAAAATCTGCAATCGCTTGGGCAGTTTTGTAGGCAGAATCCGGGTACCACACTTGACCAGCCTGATTGACCACTTGGGCTTCCGTGGAAAGATTTGCCGGGTCCGCCGGAACTCGACAAGTTACTGACCTCGTCTCCGCGGTGATCGCCCCACATGGGATCCCGCCTAACCGTGCACGTCCAACCACAACGCCAGCAGCCCAAGTAGTCAGGGTTTCTCGCCAAGTGCCCCAATCGAAGAAACCTGAGAGCCAATGATCACCAGCTCTCGCCTGGCTCTCAGGTGTGTAATTCCCGTGAAATGAACGAGCAGTAGGAGTGGATGAGGTAGATGATGCATTCTTGGGAGGTAGATCGTTGGACTGGTTCAGCTGAGAAGCTGTGAAAGTGCGCATGTTTGTAAAATAGATCAAATTAATAACTGGAGATCACTTCCGCAATCTCAGATAAATGCCAATCAACCGAACGGCATAACTATTGGAGAGCATGTTTCTATGCAGGAACAGAACTCTCTGGCATGGAGATAAACGTCTCACTCAACCTCACCACAGACCGCCACTAACCAAAACGTAAAGTCTTTGATCGCTGGAATGCACAGATTGTACAACGCCATCAGTTGCACTGATCTCCCTATGTACCACTGCACGTATGCAGTCACATGAAACAGCAAATCCTGCGCACAATCTATTGTAAGTACAACGATCACCCTAAACAGTAAATATGAAGGAGACCCAACAATGCATGAGCGGAGACCATGAAGCCGACGATGGTAACAAAAGTCATGGGATTCAACTGCCTCCTTAATTTTCGGTAGAGTTAATGGTCGGAGAATCTAAAATGGTAAATAGTTTCAATAAATAATTTAGCAATTACAAGCAAAACATATTACGGGAAAAACTGAACCGATATTAAAAACGATAACAAGCAAAACAATACTGTCCGTGTACCTAGGACTCCAGTAAACAACCAACGAGGGTCGTCATTTGGTCGATCGCGGCTAGGTGCATAATCAATTAAACGATCGATTGGATCGAACGGCAACTGTTCGGTTGAATCTTTCGTTCCTCCGGATGCACATGAACCGGGATTGCTACCAGCACTGATCACCACGTAATCATTTGGATCGGTCCAACCGGCTGGTCGACGCACTGGAACAGGCCGATAAAGCACGGGAACCGGGAGGCCTTTCCGAGCTGGCACGTAGCTCAACCATTCAAGAGTCTGTTGTAGAGCGAGCAGTTCATCAGAAGCGACGAGATGAGAAACACCATTGTTGGCCATGACCTGAAAAGAAAATATGAGTAACTTATTGGCTGAAGATATACATAGAGAGAGCGAAAATATTCGTAGGGGGTTGAGTATAGTCACAATAGGAGAACAAAATAAAAACAGGTGGAAAGTATTGCATGGTGCAATAGCAGAATAAACTTAGGATCTGTTTACTTTACGTAAGGCGAAAGCTTATCTTATTTACCATTGTATTCGTCGAAGCCTGCAGATAACGATTTGGAGAGAAAGAAAAGAAGAGCCAAGAGTTGCTTCCTGCAAAAAGCAGTTTCTCTACACATTTGCAAAAACACCGTAAAACCAGGTTACATGAAACATGACGACGAGAACAAGAGTGCGTGCGGAGACGAGAAAAAAATTGGCTCACTTGAACACCGCCCAATTGACTGTTGCTGGTGTAAACTTCACGTCCAAGAAGTTTGTTTAGGGCCATCGCACCGGTAAGAATAATATGCGAGTTCTTTACCTAAACACAAGATAAACAGTGGAAAGCTGATAGAAGACTGATAGATATGATGAAGTGGGATCGAAGGGAAGACAGCAAAAAAGTTACTCAAAAAGGTATGAATGTAAGTACATTTATGATAAATGAAAAAGATATGAACTAGCTCCGTGTTTATCCAGTTCATTCGAATCAGCTTGTCGGACTAATAAAGGTGAATGTCAACACGCACGTGTGCGTAAAGTTGTCCATCGCTATATCGCGGTTCATTTACTGCTGTTTTACTGCATCGCGGTTTTTCAGCTAATCTAATTATGTATAGCGAAGTTTTCGCTATATGTCGCGGTTTCCGCTGTATAACACATTTTTATAATACTTGTGATTTTAAGTATTTTTGCCTACAATATAGAAATGTAAGAGTATTGATTCAAACATAATAAGGGACAAACAGTACCAACAGCTCTTCATTGTGGTGCTCATCACTTGAACGACAAGATTAGTGACGCTTACGCCTTTGGTCGGCACAAAATTTATGGTTACACTGAAGATAATGAACTAACTGATGAACTGACGCCTTCGGAAAAACGGCATTGTACCCCCTGGGTGTGCAATGTGATTAAGTATACATAAACTGTATTCAACCGCACTGAATTATCGAACCTGGCCAAGTCGTTTTGATGGTCATAAAACAATTGCCACTGAAACCCTTTAACCGTATTCTTTTAAATCGGCGCATCAATGAAGATAAAATAGTGGACTAGAAAAAAAATCCGTATCTATTAACTTTAAACCAAAAAATGATTCTCATTGGTATTCCTCCATCGTTCGTTATCTTTATCCTCCGTAAACTATTTGAGAAATTTATTTCGATTCACAATAATTTGAATACATTTCACGCGAGATAAAGGAAAATGATGCACACTATCCGTGCAGTACTGAAAGCTCAAAACCACCGATGCTGTTGGTCTGCATTGTGTATGTATCTTTGCATTCACCATCAATTGGTTTTCGCCATAGATTCAACTGATACAATGACCTTGATCGGAAACCCGGCTTTTACCAACATATTACGATGAAAGATGTGTGTAAACCTACAAGTTCGGCTTAGAAATACGGAACCCTTCATTAGAAGGACGTGAGTAGAGGATAGATAGGGTCATACAGAAAGAAACACAAACAAAGAGAAGCTATAATTTCATGAAAGACTCCGGATCCTAGGTTAAGTGTTTTAAATGGTCTGTTCGCATGACTTAATCTATTCGGTTGTTCGGATGAGCCAGACATTGTTGGTAGTATATGGTATGGAAGATCGTTCATCAAATAGGCTAACTCAAACACGATTGGGTCATTCGCACAAGTTGATATATATATA